AAAAAAAAAAAAGATGAAAACTTGTTAGAGATTAATTGCAAAGTAATGTAAAAGCAAATAAAGTCAGTTCAAAAATTTTAGACAGAAATCTCTCTAAATAGAAAGATTAGCTTTGTTTACAAAGAGCTTCAGATGTAACACACAATAATCTTGAGACATAATACCATATGGTCAGAATATACCAAGATTATTTTCTCTAAATATCTAAGTGGTAAAAAAAAAAAAAAAACTTCCATGGGTAAATAATTTGAATTCTCCAGTTAAACTACTGACCTTGATGACAATAGATTTAAAGAATGTTGTGAGCAAGTTAGAAATTAAAAAGTAATAAAATACAATAAAATATATATTTGTGCTTGTTATCTAATATTAAGCAAATACTTAAGGGTAAACACTAATGCCAAAGGGACAGGGAGGCCACATCTTCTGATCTCGTTTATGCCCACAAGAGGAAGACAGAATCACTATCAGTAGCCCAATGCCTATTCCTGCAAGGCCAGACATGCCACCTCCTTCCAGCTCTTTCACCAACCCTAACACCAACCGTCCCTCCTGCAGCACCCTCCACTTCTCTGCTGGGTTCAATAATTCACTGCAGAAGCCACACAGAACTCACAGATTATGGGATTTATTAATGAAGCAACAGGCTACAATTCAAGTTCAGGAACATGCTCAGTCTCTCTCAGCCCACCATCTCTCAGATGACAGTCTCTTTCCGTCTTTTTTCCAGCAGTGAGTGTCTCTCATGTCTCTCTCTCAGCAATGTGTGTCTATAGTGTCTCCCAGCTGGCAATGAGAGATTCCTTCAGCCTCTAGGAGAGCTCCTTTTGAGCCTGGCGGAGTGACCAAACTAACCAATCCCAACTTCAGAATTCTATACACCTGAGAGAGAGCATACTTCCCAGAAAATTACTTCATGCTGCTCCCAACAGAAATAACCCAGATCGATAACTTTAAAAATCAGGGGCTACTCAGTTGCTTACAGCAATTCCACCATGGAGCTTATAAAGACTTATGGCTAGAAAAGCCACAGTATATAATTTACTACACTGCTGCTAACATATACATTTTAAACCAAAAATGAATCAGGATTTTCTATTGATTTGACAACATGTTTTATACAATTCATAACATATTAAATAAACCTTTTAGCACTTCTTTTTCTTTTCAAAGCAGGAAAAAATCTTTTGTGACTTTACATGAAGTTTTAAAATTGTCAGAAGTTTATAATAGGTCACTGAGAAACAATAAAGTGATTTATCTAAAGATCTTAAAAGTAAAATATATGTAGAATATTGCTGTTGTTGTTGTTATGTGCTGTTGAGTTGGACCCAACTCATAGTGACCCCTCCTTTGTTTCCGAGGCAGTATCACTACAGAAGTAGATTGCTCCCATCTTCCTTCTGAGGAGTGGCTGGTGGGTTTGAACCACCAGCCTTCTGGTTAGCAGTCAAGTGCCTTAGGCACTATGCTACCAGAGCTCCCTAAAAGAGGCATAGTTATTCTAAAATCATCTGCCAAAAGCATCCTCTTCCCTTAAATTAGCAAAGATAGAATAACCTCTGCTACTATTAGCCATTATTCTTCTCCCATTCCTTTGCAGTCTATACAAGAAGGCTGCTAAGGGAATAAAATGGGAAAAGAAATTAACCATTCATTCACCATATGGGGAAAACTGAGATATTTGAGATAAATATAACTGCCTGTCTCTAGGAATGTCTGTTCATACATGTTTGCCTGTGTGTGTTCAATGTCTGCTATAAACTACACATGATAGCTTAATAAAGAGAAAAAAAATCACAACTAATAATGAAAATATACCAAAGAGTTTTGTGCAATATTAACCACACTAGGTAGGTAATGTTTAAAGTATGCAAGAGAACCTAATACATCTACTTTTCACTAATTGACTGTAATGCTATCTGACAATGACATTTCACATTTACAATACTAGTAGAATACTTGCTTTCCAACTATTTTGCTTATTTATGATTATTTCTGTCAGTAACAAATACTGAGGTGAAAGGTGAGAATAACACTAGCTATAATGATTAAGGTTATGTGTCAGCTTAGCTTGGCCATGATTCTCAGTTGTTTAGCAGTTATGTAATGATGTAATGTGTCAATTATGTAATGATGTAGTCATTTTCCACTTTGTGATCTGATGTGAATATCCTCCATTTTCACATAAGTCTGATTTTCAAATAATGAACTAGTTCTTGCAACCATGTCAATAGGTGAGGAGTAAGTATATTTCATTTTTATATGGGTTATCCCTATATAGTCAATATTTATGTGAATGACATTTGTCTTTTTACTATACTAAAATTTTGACATAATAGATATGGAAAAGAGTGCATCTTCAGACAAGAAAATTTTAGATCACAGAAAATATAATCCACTAACAGTTGAAAATTACATGCTTGAAGTTCTTGAAAGTCCAAGAGCTATACATAAGGCCTAATAAATAAGTTATGAAATTTCTAGTACATATATCTCAATGCTAATATAAATAATTTGTTTACCAGAAAGAATATGCTATTTATGTGGTTGTATAATTACCAATATATTATTTACTCAATTACCTACCTCTACACTTTGTATTTTATAAGGCAGATCGTTTGACTCAATATCCTTCTCTGCATATAAAGAAACACCTGCATTCTTATGTTTGACTTCATAAATCACATGTTCAAAACCAATAGAAGACTCCAGGGGTTCAATTCCATAAGTGACATTTTCAAATTGCAGTAAGCCTCTAAAAATTCCAAAAAAGTAAGTGAATAAATAAAATAATGTTTTTTTAAAGTAAAATGTTACTTTTGTTTTAAACAATATGCAAGTCATTTTCAGACTTAGTCTTAGGAGATAAAGTAGGAAAAACTATAATTGCTCAAGAACTTAGAGAGTGGAACAGAACACCAATGCAGTTGGTTTTGTTCTACATATTAATATTTCATAGTTTTCAGATATATTAAGAATCTTAACAAAGACTAAAGATAGACTCTAGTATAAGTATTTCCATACTATGATTCGCCAATAAAAATAATTTTCCACATTATTCATGCCTCACTTTGGAATCCCTGAAAATTATTAAAATTTATTTTAATCCTTCCCAAATAAGTATTAATTTTGTATAAATTATATATCACAACCTGAGTCCAGTGCATGTGCTAACGATCACCATAGAACTTGGAAACCCTTCAATAAACCCTTGGTAATAGCAGAAACTCTGAAAAAAACAAGTACATACATCTTTATTAGAATAATTCACATTAAAGATATGATATTCAATTTTTAAAACATATATGCTTACCTGTATATATGTGTCAAATGCTCTTTGTTTCCAAACATGCATTAGTATTTGTATGGGTTTTCACCTGAGGACCCTGTCCCAGGGAAAGCAACTGTTGTTGTTATGTGCCGTAGAGTCAGACCTTACTCATAGTGACCACTCCTTGGGTTTCTGAGGTGGTATCACTATGGAAGTAGATTGCCCAACCCTCCTTCCAAGGAGTGGCTGGTAGGTTTGAACCGCCAGCTTTCTGGTTAGCAGTCAAATGCCTTAGGCACTATGATACCAGAACTCCTTAAAGCAGCTGTAGGTGGCTAATATTTAAACAGAAAGCCCCATTCTTAATGACTTGAAGGTAAACACAATTTATCAAAAGTAGCTGGAAACTGAGGTAAGATATCTAGGAAAGAGGTGAGGCACAGAGTGAACCTTCAAAAGATATGTTATTAACTCAAATGTAAGAGGTCCTAAATAGTCCCTTAGAAAGCAAGACTAGAAAAGCAGAAAACTGTGAAGAGATCCTGGCTGTCTCCAAACACCAGTGTACAGTTTGGAAGCTACTTCCATACAAGTTAACTGCTTAATAGAACAAAAATCAGATTCGTTAGGTGGCACAAACAGTGACATGCTCAACTACTAAGTAAAAGAATGGCAAACTCACCTTGAAAGTTAACATTCTTGAAAACCCTATGGAGTAATTCTACTAAGTACATATGGGGTTGCTATGAGTCAGAATTGACTCAATGGCAACTGACAGCAATAAGAACAAAACTTTAAAAACTCTTTCAAGAAAGATAACAGATGCACACAATCTACAATGTATCACTGAATATGGCCAGAATATGTTAAAAAAATTATTATATATAGAGAGAGGAAAATGTGATCTATAGTCAGGAGAAAAGATACAGGAGATTGACAGAACTCATCCAGAATTTGAAATTTGTAGAAAATTAAAACAGATATTAAAAATGAGCATGATGAGAGAAGAAATGATATTTCAACAAATTTAAGCAAAGAAATACAGGTTATAAAAGTGCCAAATATAAATTCTACCATATATATATATATATATATTTTTTTTTTTTAAATGAAAAATAAACTTGGTAGGCCTTACCACAAATTGAAATGGCAAAAGAAAAGGTGCAAACAATAAATGATAGATATGAAGATATTATAAAATGTGAAAGAAAATCAAAAGAAGTATTCAAATTGAACATAGCTGCATTATCTATGGAATAGTATTAGTATTAAGCATTATAAAATATGTTTAATTGGAGTTCTGGAGAAAACATAAAGAGAAAATGGATTTAAAAATCTCTGAAAAAATAATGAGCAAAAGATCCCTAAATTTGGTGATAAACAACTTATGAACCTCACTCACATCAGATGAACTCCTAAAATCGAAAACAAAGAGAACAATCTTGAAAGCAACCAGAGAAAAGCAACATATAACATGCAGGGGACTAATCACACAAATGAAGGTTGATTTCCATTAGATACTGTTGACCAAGACAAAATGAAGTGACATATTTAAAGTGCTGAGAGGGAAAACTAATATGACAATCCAAAATTATATATCTTGTAAAAGTATTTTTTAAAAAAGAGGGTATAGAAGATTGACTTTCAGTGTAATAGCAGGAGGAGCTCTGCAGACTGTTTCTCCAGTAAAATTGACAAAAATTACAAACAAACCATAATTTAAGGTCATAAAAGAAAATGATGCTGAGAAGAAGTGAATATGCATCTATTTGAGAAATTATGAATATTCAGTAAGAAAAGCAAGAGTCTGTAGTATTTGAATTAAGACCACCTTACCCTCTTGTCCTCTAGTTCATTGGATGTGGAAATTCCATTTGGACTGGTGTAGCCAAAAATACAGGGCTTCCTCTCCCCATTCCCAGTCAGAGGGCTTTCTTTATAGGAGGTACAGGATGTCAGTATTATTCATCCTGGCCCAACTACCTGTTGCTGAGACTAGCTTCCAGGCTAATGCAATCAATAGGTGGGATCCTATCTTCTGCCCAGGCGCTAAACATGGAATGGTGTGGCACTGAGTGTGGGACTCAAACCCTGATCACCTTTGCTCTGGAT